GAAGCAATTCATCATAAATATTTTTCGGAAAGGCCTTATCCAATGTTAAATTGTATTAAATATATTGATTGATTAAATAAAAAGTTTTAATATTTACTAACTTGAATTTTTAATTAAAATATATGAAGCAATAATGATATAAAATTTATTATAGAATGAATTATATGTATTTGGGTAGATTGAATATAATATATTGATAAATTGAATCTAATTGTAAAAGCTATCTATTATGAAAATTGCTCGAGATTGGAATTCAGAATAAGTTTTCCAAATAATAATTCATTTTGAAATTCGAAATAAAATTTCTTTTTAATGCGTAACATTATATTTGGAAATAGGATAAACCAGAGTATTTTGAGTTCTTTATACATAATTGATTGAATATCTAGAATTTCCAAATGAAATATAATGTGAAAATAAAACTAATTAGAAATGTCCAATTGAATTAATCATCTCATTTTTCCCTTTTCTTCTCACTTTAAGATTTGATGACATGAGCAATTTCATTCTGACATTTAAGAATGCAAGCAAATTGTTTTTCATAAGTAAGATGTTAGATTGAGTAGATCATTTAATTGAAACCACATTACTATGAGATCTCACATCGTTTGATGAGGAATCTAAAAGAGAAGAAGCTCAAATGTACATATGTGTATTGATTGTTTTGATAGTCCTATAGTTAAAACATTCTCTCTGATATGAATACATTAAATGCTGATGAATAACACACAAAAGTTTAATTTAAATGTAAAATTTCATCCTCTGAGAGTTCCTTTCAAATCTTTCTTAAAAATATTGTCTTTTTAAAAAATTATGATAATTTAGTTCATGTAACAAATTTATCAAGGTAGATCTTATGAAAAAAGTTTAAAAACTGCTAAAGCGATTATTCAAATATATAAGAAAAAGACATAATATGATAATTTGATAGCATGATAAAAATTATTAGAGTGTGGTAGAATTTACGAAAAAGTGACACTTAACCTTAAATTTCCAAACACTATTTTTTGATTGTATTTTGTTATTTATATATTTATATATATAAATATATTTATATATGTATATTTATATATGTATATTTATATATGTATATTTATATATGTATATTTATATATGTATATTTATATATGTATATTTATATATGTATATTTATATATGTATATTTATATATGTATATTTATATATGTATATTTATATATGTATATATTTATATATGTATATATTTATATATGTATATATTTATATATGTATATATGCATGTATTTATATATGTATATTTATTTAAAAAAATTAAAAATAATATAATTAAAATTTATTTATATTTTAAATTTCATACTGATCTTCGATTCCAATTTGTGAATTGATATCATTAACAATTGAATTTCGGTGCACCCCTATGAGAGCGCTGGCGACCGAAACACAACTAGTAAGATTGTGTATTAGAAACTGCTTCATGCTGTGTTGAGAAAGCTTCGATGTCTTTGTAGGATAGCTTTCTGAGAGCGAAACAAGATAGTGTTGAAAAAAAATTGAAAATCTGAGAGACTGTGCAAGAGCCAACGACCAAAACACTACCAGTAAGATACAGCAGTAGTAGCTGCTTCATGCTGCATTGAGTATTGTTGAATAATTTGAAGTAGTGGTTTTTGAAATCAGCACCCCTATGAGAGCGCTGGCGACCGAAACACAACTAGTAAGATTGTGTATTAGAAACTGCTTCATGCTGTGTTGAGTAAGCTTCGATGTCTTTGTAGGATAGCTTTCTGAGAGCGAAACAAGATAGTGTTGAAAAAAAATTGAAAATCTGAGAGACTGTGCAAGAGCCAACGACCAAAACACTACCAGTAAGATACAGCAGTAGTAGCTGCTTCATGCTGCATTGAGTATTGTTGAATAATTTGAAGTAGTGGTTTTTGAAATCAGCACCCCTATGAGAGCGCTGGCGACCGAAACACAACTAGTAAGATTGTGTATTAGAAACTGCTTCATGCTGTGTTGAGTAAGCTTCGATGTCTTTGTAGGATAGCTTTCTGAGAGCGAAACAAGATAGTGTTGAAAAAAAATTGAAAATCTGAGAGACTGTGCAAGAGCCAACGACCAAAACACTACCAGTAAGATACAGCAGTAGTAGCTGCTTCATGCTGCATTGAGTATTGTTGAATAATTTGAAGTAGTGGTTTTTGAAATCAGCACCCCTATGAGAGCGCTGGCGACCGAAACACAACTAGTAAGATTGTGTATTAGAAACTGCTTCATGCTGTGTTGAGTAAGCTTCGATATCTTTATCAGACCACCTTTAAATTAACCACTCACATTCTCACTGTGGTCCATCTAAAATTTGTAAACTTTATGACATAAAATTATATTATATGCAGGATCCCACCTATTACTTAATCTTTTTGGAATAAATGTTTTATAATATTTATCGATTGATTGTAATTTTTTGTATAAAAAAGTTTTTTATTTATATTAAAAATATATTCGGTTAATGATATTATCTTATAATTTGTAAATAAATCTAGTAATAAAATAACTTTAATAGTTGGTGTCACTTTTTCGAAAATTCTGGTTTTTTCTTAAAAACTGCTAAAGCGATTATTCAAATATATAAGAAAAAGACATAATATGATAATTTGATAGCATGATAAAAATTATTACGTATAATCAAGTATGTCATTAAATATAACATTAATCATTAAATATTTTGCAATACAAATGGAGAATTCATTAATTATAACATAACAATTTCGTATTATGATGAAACTATTAGTTCTATGAAAATCAATAAAAAACATTTCAAAACTCGCAAAGCTAAATTTTCTAAAACAAGTTATTCTCTGAAAATATATGAAAACTAAATATAAACGAGATAAATTTAGCAGAATTATTAACTGCATATAATATTAAGACTTTATTTATTAAAAGTGATGTTGAAACCATATAGATTCAAAATTATAACTGAAATTTGAAAATTAAGAATTATTCTTATATACGAAAAAAGGAGATTTGACAGAATGTCAAATCTCCTCAAAAAGTGACAGTTTACATGGCAAACAATTGCGAGCAATTTTTAGCCATTTTGGCTGAGAACTAGGGTCTGCCAGGTACATAGATAGAATCAGTACCTCGCAGACTCTAGTTCTCTATATGGCGCCGAAAATTTTTGGTGAAATGTCGTCGGATTTCACCAAAAATTTTTCGGCGCCATAGGAAGAATTGGAGGGTGTGAGATACTATTACATATAATAGTACTCACACCCTCCAAAATCTCGAAAATCTCAAAATTTCCTGCAATTATCATCAACTTTGCATAGCACAATCGGCCAAAAATTCATTCAATTGTCCTTCTTCTCAATATTTCTTAACTCTTTCGATTTCTTTCAAAATATCTTTCAATAATCTTTCAATGATAAATATTATACAAAAACGATTAGTATGAAACTTTTTTGCATTTTAAAAATATTTGATATTTCTGTTTTTATTTCAATTTTTATATTTTTATTTTCCTTTTTTAGATGAAACTTATTTGTTTACCAATATTCCTTATTTTATAAAATTTTTCAATTGAATACTACAATAATTTTATCTCTCCTTTATTAAATTTTCGATTTTTATGTTAATTCTAATTCTTTGCACTATTTCTTGTCTAAATCTTCTAAAATTTTTATTTTAATTTAATTTGACACATAATCATCCTTTTAATTTTCGATTCAAATCCTTATCCTCTTCATTATTTTTCAATATTTTTTATCGTAATTTGTAAAATTCGTTCTTTTATAGCTGTTTAAATAATCCAAAACCATGATATTTATTATTGTTAATTATTCCTAATCATGTTTGTTGTGCATGAAAATTCGGTTCACTTCACTTCTGACAAAAGTGACAAGTTTACATGGCAAAAATAGTTTACATGGCAAAATATATAAGGTATTTTTAAAAGTAGTTATCTTTATATATAAAAATAAAACTTTTGATATATTTGAGTAAATGATTTATTTATTTATTTATTTTTTTAAATCAAATCATATAAATATATATATATATATATAATAGTGAAATAGAACAAGAGATAATTATTGATGATTAAATTGTAGACGAGGATAAAAGTTTAGATAAATTAATAAAATTAGTGTGGAATCAGACAAATTTCGGGTTGTTTGGGAAGGAATTGTTGGCTATGATGTACTGATTCATGATCAGTACATCATAGCCAACAATTCCTTATACAAAGTTCAAAAACTTGGGTGCAATCAGAACTGATTGCACCCAAGTTTTTGAACTTTCTCGAGGGAATGAAAGGGTAAGAGGTATACATTATGAATATATACCTCTTACCCTTCCATTCCCTCTCTGACAGCGGGAAACTTTGTCTGAATAGTTTAACATTCAGACAAAGTTTCCCGCTGTTTGCGAAGGAATTGTTGGCTATGATGTACTGATTCATGATCAGTACATCATAGCCAACAATTCCTTATACAAAGTTCAAAAACTTGGGTGCAATCAGTTCTGATTGCACCCAAGTTTTTGAACTTTCCATTAACAATTTTTCAATCACATTTATACAACCCAAATCTATACCAATCATACTCTTATTCATACATCATATTTTAAAATCTTTTGCAACTTGGTCTGCTGTCTTTTTGCCAATAGAATATTCAAGATATGCCGTAATATAAATCTGATTTTCATTTGGCAGATCCACTTCTTGTCTTTCCATTTTTTTTGAATCAATTTATACAAATAAACTTATAAAACACAAAATTATTATTTTATAATATAATTCTTAGATAATACATCCGATATGTAAAGTGTCAAAAATGAATTGAACCGAATTTTCATGCATTACAATTCCTAATCATGTTTTTTCCATTAATTTTAATTTTTTATTTTCTGAACCATTTAAATTAATTTTGTCAAGAATATTTTTTCAATATAGACTTCTGAAATAATTAAATTATTCTCAAATTCTCACAAATTATTTCATTTCAAATTTGTTTAAAATGAATTTGTACACCTTAGTTGATTCAGCTTGGCTTGAAACAGCTCTAGCACAGATTCAAAGGCGCACACCGTTAGCCATTGTTCTCACAAATGTTCCATTAGTCAACAACACTATTCGTTCATCAATTAACAAGATAACATTTTACAAAGCTCTCTTATGTAATAGACTAATTACTATTGAAGAGTACTTACATCATACATACAAACTTCAAGAGTTTACTACTTTCTACATTAAATATAATAATCGACTCTACGAGTGTTCATCCATTTTGAAACACAGATATGACACTCTCCTTACCGATTATTTGATATTACAAAGTTCAAACGACTCTCGTATACAGGAAGAACCCTCATCAGCCAGCGCTACCAACTCTGTTCCACAGCAACAGCTCTCAACAGCCAACGCTCCTCTACAAAGCCCACTTTCTGCCAACACCCCGCCACAACGCCAGCTCTCTGCCAACGCTCCTCTTCAACGCCAGCTTTAATTAGCCAGCAGTACCAACACTCCCACACAGCCACAACTCTCTGCCAACACTCCTCTTCAACGCCAGCTCTCTGCCAACACCTCGGCACAGCAACAACTCTCTGCCAATACTCAGCCTCAGCCTCAGCCTCACCCATCTGTGTCTATTCCCCTTAAGCGCGGGAGACCCAAAGTTAATGTACCAAAAGATCTTAAGGTAACTATTAGAAACCTAATTGAGCAGCATGGCCATCTTGGAATAATCTCCGCCTATAACCAAATAAATAAAGATATCGAATATGCCAAATCTCATTTTGAGGCATTTTTGGACATGAAGACGGGTATTGTTCCACAGCCAACGCCTACCCAAGCATGGTTCTCCGCTATTGAACGTTTTAAGCCCCTGAATCAAATTTCTTCCACAATTCCTTCCCGACTTATGATTGAAGAGTCTCCATTATCATTTCCATCTGAGCTGAGGAACATTAAATATCTTACAAACCCTCTTCCACATCCCCCTCAAGACATATGGTAGAAAGAGGTTTTAGAGAGCTAGGCTTGGCACGTCCAAGGGGACCCTATCGGCCAAAAGGAAAGACAAGATACTTAGCTGCCTTTCCTAACCAAATATGGCACGTTGATATCCACTTTCTTGGCAAAAAGAGAAGTCAGATTCTTTATGCTGTGATTGATGACTGCACAAGGCTCATCATAGAATGGCAGCATCTTTCGTCAAAACATGCTAGCCAAACAGTGAAAGTAATTAAGAGAGCAATAGCCCGTTATGGACCACTACATACAATTTGGTCCGATAATGGCGGCGAGAATAAAGGCGAGTTCCTAAAGGCTATGAGGGTTCGGGGATCAATAATGTATATATTGTCTCCCATTGCCCATACCAAAATGGGAAAATCAAGCGCTTGTGCCCTAACATAGAGAGCAGAGAGTTGTCATGGGCAAAGATTCAACAATGGGTTGAGTAGTATAATGCTAAACCTCATCTAGCTTTACCAACTCATTATGTGAATGGAAAACAAATTCACTATAGCCCATCTGAAATGTGGAAGAAACTTCCAATTTGGAAGAGGGGAATGGAAACAATAAGAATTACCGAAAAAGTGACAAAACATCAAAAACAGGGAGGGGTCTCAATTTTTATTACTTATATTATTTTACAATATTTATATAAATACTCTTTATAATATATTTTACTATAAAATTATACCTCAAATTCAAATATTTAAAATATTATTTACATAATTATCTCAAAATTATATTTTTATATATTATTTTTCATATGTATAAATCATATAATCTATATCTATGCAAATCTCATCTAAAATTTTTTGAAACAAACCGCTACCATTTTATAATGGTCCATCTTAAATTCATCATAAATTCTGGTACATGTTAGTACCAGAGTCTTCAAATCTCAAACACTCTGGTACCAACATGTACCAGACGCGAGTTTCCAATGCCCTCGTACGATTTTCTATTAAGATCTTCTTGAATGAGAAGGTCTTGATAGAAACTCGTACGAGGGCTTCTCTTTTAAATACTCTGGTACCTGCTGGTATCGGAGTCGACTTTACAGCCCTTTCCCCAATTTTGAAGCTGGGAAAGTTTTCAAGCAATGAAAGGGAAGCTCTCGCTATGAGGTGAAAATCTAGAATTTTTACCTCATAGCGAGTAATCCTTTGTTAATTGCTTGAAAACTTTCTTCAAATTATCAAAATTTCGAGAAAGTTTCCTTGCTTCAAAGTAGAGATGGAGCCCTTTGAGCCACTGCATATAGGTCAGTGACTCAAAATACTCCATCTCTACTAGAAATCGCCAAAATTTGGGTCGCAATCTTTGAAATGCGACGCAAGTTTGGGCAATTTCGCGAGGGACTTGCTCCATTTGGTGCATAGATTCACACTCTATGCACCAGATGGAACAATTCTTTCGCTGACAGCGGGAAACTTTGTCTGAATAGTTTAACATTCAGACAAAGTTTTCCGCTGTCAGAGAGGGAATGGAAGGGTAAGAGGTATATATTCATAATGTATACCTCTTACTCTTCCATTCCCTCAAGAAAGTTCAAAAACTTGGGTGCAATCAGAACTGATTGCACCCAAGTTTTTGAACTTTATATAAGGAATTGTTGGCTATGATGTACTGATCATGAATCAGTACATCATAGCCAACAATTCCTTCGCAAACAGTGGGAAACTTTGTCTGAATAGTTTAACATTCAGACAAAGTTTCCCGCTGTCAGGGAGGGAATTAGAGGGTGGGAGATATATAGATAGACTATAAATCTCTCACCCTTTAATTCCCTCAAGAAAGTTCAAAAACTTGGGTGCAATCAGAACTGATTGCACCCAAGTTTTTGAATTTTGTATAAGGAATTGTTGGCTATGATGTGGATAGCCGCTGCCAGACCAAATGAATTAACCGTTGTGAATAACGTTTCTGAATCTTTATTTAAAAAGATAAAATATCACGATTTTGGCTGCGTTAAAAATCAAAGAATTGATGTTTTTGTCAAAAATCTTTTAGAAGAAGTTGCACCCAATTACTTTTATCGTATTAAAAACGATTTACTTCAAACAGGTTTTATTCCTTCAATTAGAATTCGCGAGCCTCGATTGACAGATTATAAAACAAAATTGAAAAGAGAAGTTCAATCACGTTTATACCAAGTATTAAATTTTGTTCAGAATCAAGAAGCCAATTTGAATCCATTAAGATTTTTATTGGAAAATGCTGAAGAAAAACTTTCTCAAATAAATGAGAAGATACAAAATTCAATTACATATTTAAGATCGTTTGAAATTCCAAATGAATTGTTAGATACGTATATGTTAGAAATTAATGAATTTTGTTATAATTCTCCAGATTATATTTTAGAACATTTCGAAGAATTTTTAGAGGATTTCAAAGAAAAGAATAATTTAATAGACTAAAAAATTTATTATTTTTATATATTGTGAATTTTAAATTGTCACTTTTTAAGTGTTACTCCCTATTGAAAGTGTCACTTTTTGGGTGTCACTTTTTCGGAAATTCTTATATACTCCTCATTATGTGAATGGAAAACAAATTCACTATAGCCCATCTGAAATGTGGAAGAAACTTCAAATTTGGAAGAGGGGAATGCCGGCAAAATGGATTGTGGATGGAGTCTCTCAAGATTTTCTTCCAGGTTCACTTATGGCCAATGAGATGCCAGAGCTCCAAGGAATCGAAGAAGATGAATGGGAAAAAGAAGGCGAGGAAGTTGAAGAAGAAGAAAATAAGGCGAATCCGGTTGAAATAGAAGAAGATAGTAATGAAGAAGAATACGAAGTAAATTATGAAGAAGAATATCAAGAAGATTATGAAGACCCTTATGAAGAAGATTATGATGATTCATTTTAATATTACGAATAAAATGTCACTTTTCTATTTTTGACACGTAAAGTTGTCACTTTTCTGTCAAACGGTTTTTATCGTTTTCGTATATAACATTATGATTCAAATTCAACAATCACCTAGTCTCAAGGTGCATTAAGGTGTCTTCCTATATCTATGAGTATCCGTTACTGTAGCTTCTTAATTAATTCGGCCCAATGCTCTCTTTGATTTCATAAATTAAGTTTTATTTGATCTGCTTATTAACTTGCAATAAATTAGAGTAAAATCTGAAATGTACTTCAATAACTTAATGGATTATACATTAATAATATAGAGAGACTTACCACTTTCGGACATACTAACAAAATGCTAATAAAGGCATAGAGAGATACAAAAATTAAAATTTTTGTCATGAAAGAAGCTATTCAACTCTTACAGGTATGAATATGGATCAATCATTTGTACATATATTCTTATATTCATATAAGAAGCTGAACTTATGGATTCTAGGTTCTAATTCCTATTCATTATAAGAAGTTAGTATCCATAACTTCGGTACCAAGGGTCTACGCCCCTCGGAACCAAAATTATTGAATTTGACAAAAACCGTTTGACAAGTAAAATACATTTGACATTTACAAAAAATAAAAAAATAATTTTTAAAAAATAAACTTAAAAATTAACGTTAAAATTTTTGACACTTCACAAAATAAAAAATAATTTTTAAAAAATAAACTTTAAAAAATTAACGTTAAATTTTTTTATTTATTTTTTTATCATAGATTTTAACACCCAGAGTTGTTGTATGCTAAGATCAGTCATAATGTAAACCTCTCAATTTTATTGTCGTGGGAAGTATCTCAATTCCTTCAAAAAAATTGAAAAACTATTTAATTTTAAAAATATAATACTTTTAATTAGTTAATTAATTGGAGATATTTTTAAAAAATCACTTTTGATAATACTTTTGAGAACTTTAATTAAAAAAATATATTCAAAAATATCCAGGATATCAAGAGGGAATTGTTCCTTATGAGGTATACATCATAACTATATACCTCATAAGGAACAATTCCCTCCTTAAAATGAGAAAACTTGTTCGAAATTGTTTATCATTTCGAACAAGTTTCTCGTTTTTAATAGGAAACTAAAGGCTATGAGGCACTGATTATATATTAGTGCCTCATAGCCTTTAGTTCCTAATAGATAGCTGGGGAACTTTCTCCAAATGATAAGTTATTCAGAGAAAGTTTCCCAGCTATCAAGAGGGAATTGTTCCTTATGAGGTATATAGTTATGATGTATACCTCATAAGGAACAATTCCCTCCTTAAAATCGTAGACATTTTTATACTTATTAATCAACCATTCAAAATCATATTCCTCTGAAAAGTTATTTTATTAAAAATTTAGAATTTTAATAAATATAGAGTTTGAATTTCATACAATACCTATATATTTTCAATAATGGAATTTGAAAACCATTCTCAAAAGTGTTGGGCATGAAAAATAGCGTGACTTCACTTTTGACAAAAAGTGACACTATTTCTGATGGTTTTGTCATTTATTTGTCAGATTTATAAATGGATAATAATGCTGTAAATCAGATATTAATTAAAAATATTTAAGATTTATGTTCGAATTGAAAAGCAAAATGATATTTTTTTTAATTGAAAAACGTTAATATCTGATATTTTGAAGTTTTTAATATTTGTTAGTATCTTAAATTATTGAATGCATACGTTTTTTATGTTCTCAATTTTAAAAAAATTGTGAAGAATTTAGTTTTTTGGAGATGGATGTTTAATATTTGTGAGTGAGAATGCAAGCAGGAGTTTGGTACTTTAAGGCTAGGTTGAGATAGATTTCCCATTATATTATCTGTGAATATATTGTTTGAAAATTCAAGATATAAAAATATATTATCAAAAAATTTTATATTTTTAAATACAATAGGGTGGAAGTATAGTACGATGAGATAGCAATGATATATTTTATAATGGGAGGTAATCTGAAGATAAGTAGCAAATTTTATGCGATTTTGATTGGGAGTTGGAGGGTGTGAGTACTATAGCATGTAATAGTATCTCACACCCTCCAATTCTTCCTATGGCGCCGAAAATTTTTGGTGAAATGCGACGACATTTCACCAAAAATTTTCGGCGCCATATAGAGAACTATAGTCTGCGAGGTACTGATTCTATCTATGTACCTCGCAGACCATAGTTCTCAGCCAAAATGGCTAAAAATTTCGGAAATTCGAAATAATTTTTTTTGAGAAAAAATTAACCGTTTAACATTGCCAAAAATCTAAAAAACTCACAATTTTTTAAATTGATAACCCTCAAACTGTTTCCAATCAATAATTTGAGAGTCTATATGACAATGTAAAAGTTAAAACATTCAAGTATTTAAGTATTTCTTTAAAATATTAAGTTTTTTATTTTTCCAATAAAATTCTAATATCAAATATTTTTATTTAACGATTAATTTTATTTATATTTTTATAGTTTTTTTAAGAAAAAATATTGTTAGGGTTTTATGGATTTTCAATTAATATACAAGATAATTCATGAATGTATATATTTCCAAGTTTTTAAGGATGCAACACTTTACATTTGTAAACTGTCAAAAATGAAGTCACGCTATTTTTCATGCATTACAAACCATTCTCAAAAGTTCTCAGAAAACCTTTTTTTTCATTAATTTTAAGAAATCTGAGTATTAAATTAACTGATAAATTCGTTTGACACTACTTTAATTTTTAAATTCAAAAAATTATATGTGCTTCTTAAAATGACTCAAAAAAATGTATTATAAAATAATATATAATATTAAAAATCCCACAACATTTTTTACTTTACATAATCGTACTTCCTCGACGATTAATTTCCACTCAATTTCTATCGTTGACCGAACTTAGCATGCAACAGAGTAAAAAATATTTTTTTAAAATAAATTAACTCAAAAATTTTTTAATTTCTGTATATACTAAATTTTTCATAAATGATAAAATTAATTTTACGGTATATCTAACCCGATATCTAACCTCATTTCTAACCTTGTGAATTTTCAACAGTAAATATGCTGGCATGATTCAGGAATGTCATCGCTGCTGTCTTCAAACTCTTATATAGATTCATACCATAAACGAGCTTCACGGGAGATGAGAAGTAATGAAACAATAATTAATAATTTATTAGTAAAATTCATTTTATATAAAAATAAAATTTATTATTTCATGAATCTCGATTATCTGATTTTTCGAATTCTTCTAACTTCTTCTTCAGTTCTGCTATATTATCTTCATATAATTTAATCTTTCTCAAAATACCATTTTTATCTAATGGCTGCTTAATTTTTCTAAATTGAACTCTACCATCTTTCATTTGATGAACATAAAAACCTTCTGGAATAGTTCCTGATTTAATGTATTCAACTAAAAACTTTTGTTTTGTTGCTTCAGTAATTTTAGTACTCATTTTATTAAAAGTAAAAAATAAAAAATATTTTTAAAATTAACTTTATTTTTTATCGTCGTCTTTTCCTTAATTCCTGCGGATCAACTAGGTCGGTTGAAGGTCTATTACTTTCTTTATAGTGTTTATAAAGTTTATAAGCCGCCATATGATAAGGATAATTAAACCATAAATACGCTTTACCTAAAGTTTTCAATCGATTATATAAATCATTATTGTTAGGCGTTTCAGGTGGTGCAGGGTATTCGAGAACATCTCTAACCATTTAATTACTTTAAAACTCTTGGTTTCTTTTTAGTTTTTAACAGTTTCTTTGCTTTTGCGATTTTAGCTAAAATATATCTTCGACCGTAATGGAACCAATTCGAACCTCCTGTTTTAGGGTCAAAAGGTCTTCCATAACCGCCAGGGTCATATGGTGCGACTGCAGTTACTGGCTGGCGCAGGTGCTGAATTAATCGGCGGCGCCTCAATTGGTGGATATTCTGGCTGTTTCTCCTTTTCTTTAAGTGAATTTAATTTAAACTCTTCACCATTCAACTGACCTTTAAAATCTTTTAGCTGCTTAGATATTTCATTATCTTCACCTAAAAGGTTTTGCGACTGGTCAGCAACCCAGTTACCTAATTTCTTTAACTTTTCAGATTTTAATTTTCTGGCAGCAGCTCCCACAAGCATTCCAGCATTATTTTTTAAAGCTTTTGATACAGCTCCACCAGTTAAACCGTCAATAGCTTTATAACCTCCATACAAAGCTGATAGTGTTGAAAATACCATTTAATGCTTATTAAAATCATTTCTCATAATGATTAACTCATAAAATTTTTCATCGGAGCTAAACGTTAATGAAACTCTGACTTTTTCACCACTGAACCTCTTTATTAGTTCATTAATTCTATCAATTATATTAGCACACTCACTTACATCATCAATGATAGTAATATCATCACAAATTATTTTTACATTTAACGACGTCATTTATTACAAATTAATTTCTTCTATTCTTTAAATAATTAATAAAAGACCTAATATGTGTGAGTGGTTCGCGGTTCCTTTCCTGTGTCGGGCTTGTTTGAATCGGTGTAGATTTTTCAGACCTGTTGGAATAAGATCAGCCCCGGCAGTTGAATTAATCGGTGTTCTATATAAATTTCTATATAAATATGGTCCCACTACAGCACCCGCAGCTAATAAAAGACCTACAGGAATTACAATTCTATTATAGTTCCGCAGTTTAGGGTCTTCATCAAAACTAGCCCATGCGCTTTCAGTCGTTGAACTCATTTATATATAATTAAATTTTAATAAGCGATTAATATGAGTTCGATAATAATACTATCTTTTCTGTCATCAGGAAGGACAATATCTTTTAGGCTCGATGGTTCAACTAATTTTACCGTAGGTTGAATAGCCCGAGACCAATTTCAAAGGTCGTGTACCAATAAAAATTTTGAATCAATTTACACAACGTGCCCATTTTACTCACTCAATATTTGAGAAAATAATTCAATTTTGAGAAGAATGGTCCTCTGCGTTTTGAGTGAGTGACGAAAAAAAATTCAGAAAAATTGAATGAGTTTTTATGGCCATGAACCAAATTTGTGAAGTTCCCGTTTTAAAAAAAATGCAACCAAGAACACGAATTCCCGAGTTTGCAGAATTAGAAAACTATAAAAATCTTGGGCTATTGACCCAGATGCAACTCGATTTACTCTATCGAAGAGTAAATGGCGAGTCTTATCAAAAAATACGGAATGTTTACTCAATTTCAAAGACGACAGTAGCACGTGCAATCATGTGCACTGCTACTTGTCGTTGATGGACAAAAGGTCAGTCAGGGGGTGGTATGACCCTTTTGTCACTACCAGATGAAATGCAGTTCAAAAAACTTGTTCAAGAGATGGCAGACGACTTGAACTGTATTACAACATCAATGGCCATTGCTGTCTGTACAGAATTACAAAATAGGAGATTAAAATTTGCGGCGCGGGTTCTAATCGCTGCAAGATGCCCGCATCTTCTAGCGAAGCTCGATGATTACTGCCCATCGCCATCCCGTGGCTGGCTTAATCATATCGCCACAAGATTGTCAATTCGGATTGTGAGCTCCCAAACTATTGATATGCTCTGACGCTCTACCTGTGACGCAAACCATATTCGCCAATTTTTCCTCTCCAAGCATAGATACTTTGCCCGCAGAAGAAGTTTATTGCGAATATGGATGAGACAATGCTCTATTCCAAACGTCGCTATAAAGTTCTTACTGCTGGCCGGAATCGCCCAGTTCGCGCTGAAAAGTTTCAGTTTCCACATCTTACAGGGGTCTGTACCATCTTTGCAGATGGTACAACTATGAAGCCAATGGTGATACTTCCACAAAAGAAGACCCTTGATGCGGAATTGGAAGATCTGGACGCTTTTTTTGTTCGCTCCGAGAGTGGATGGATGAACAAATACCTTTTTATGGTATACTGTATCATGTTCATCTGCAAAGTACAGGAGAAAAGGTCTCAAATGAATGTGTTTGATGCCCAGGTACCTTTTCTCCTAATTGTAGATGGTCATCCATCCAGGCTCTCTTTCTTGGCCGTTCGCCTCTTGAGCGCCTTCAATATCGAGCTTCTTGTTCTCCCAGGCCATACATCTCATATCTTACAACCTCTTGATGTTGGGATTTTTTCTCCCTTGAAGGCCCAATTCAAGAAGTTGTTTGATATGGCGACTATCCGGTACGATCAGCAAGGGCAGATGGTGATCAATTATGTATGGAACGCCAGAGAACTGCGCTATATCATGGTTCGCAGCTTCCTTGATGCATGTAGTGTGTCTTGCACAGCTACAAACATCGAAAATGCTTTTAAAGCAACATGAATCTATCCATTGGATATGAACAAACCTCTTGCTTCCAGATACATTGTAGCAAATGGAGTTCCTCCTGCAAGGCCCAATTTTGTCAACGACAAAGTCCTTACAGATCCAAATGTGATGATGCAAGTCTTCCAAATGGAATATGGACGCCCCATGCAGCAACAGGATTGGTATTTCAATCTGTTTGTGGCTATGCAATCTGTTTTGGCCTGGAATGGAGCATATGGCCAGGTTCTTAGTCGTGAGTTACATCTCCTTTATCCTACTGCAGGTGGATTTCAAAAAATCCAATTAAAATGATATAAAGCTGAGGAGCTCCAGGGTGAAGAGGAATTGATGAAGAAAAGAAGCAGCTGCATGATGAAGAGAGGAAGCACCTTGATCAGGAAAGGAAGCATCTTGATGAAGAGAGGAAGCATCTTGATCAAGAGAGGAAGCACCTTGATGAAGAGAGGAAGCTGCATGATGGATGCATGATGGAGTGAGGAAGCATCTTGATGAAGAGAGGAAGCGTAAGAACCGATAACATTTACAAAATATTAAATTTATTTTGTAAATTTTCCAAAAGCCTTAGTACCAATCTTATATACGAAAAAAAGAGATCTGACATTGTGTCAGATCTCAGTAAAAGTGACATTTACATGTCAAAAAAATAGAATGAGTTTAAGTAATTAAAATTGAGGGTGAGAGTAGTATTGTATGAAATAATATCTCTCACCCTCCAATTCATCCTATGGCGCCGAAAAAATTTTGGTGAAATGCGACCACATTTCACCAAAATTTCTCGGCGCCATATAGAGAACTAGAGCCTGTGAGGTACTGATACTATCCATGTACCTCGCAGGCTCTAGTTCCAAGCCAAAATGGCTAAAAATTGCCCGCAATTGTTCACATTGCGGGCAATTTTTAGCCATTTTGGCTGGGAATTGGAGGGTGAGAGTAGTATTGTATGAAATAATATCTCTCACCCTCCAATTCATCCTATGGCGCCGAAAAAATTTTGGTGAAATGCGACCACATTTCACCAAAATTTCTCGGCGCCATATAGAGAACTAGAGCCTGTGAGGTACTGATACTATCCATGTACCTCGCAGGCTCTAGTTCCAAGCCAAAATGGCTAAAAATTGCCCGCAATTGTTCACATTGCGGGCAATTTTTAGCCATTTTGGCTGGAATTGGAGGGTGAGAGTAGTATTGTATGAAATAATATCTCTCACCCTCCAATTCATCCTATGGCGCCGAAAAAATTTTGGTGAAATGCGACCACATTTCACCAAAATTTCTCGGCGCCATATAGAGAACTAGAGCCTGTGAGGTACTGATACTATCCATGTACCTCGCAGGCTCTAGTTCCAAGCCAAAATGGCTAAAAATTGCCCGCAATTGTTCACATTGCGGGCAATTTTTAGCCATTTTGGCTGGGAATTGGAGGGTGAGAGTAGTATTGTATGAAATAATATCTCTCACCCTCCAATTCATCCTATGGCGCCGAAAAAATTTTGGTGAAATGCGACCACATTTCACCAAAATTTCTCGGCGCCATATAGAGAACTAGAGCCTGTGAGGTACTGATACTATCCATGTACCTCGCAGGCTCTAGTTCCAAGCCAAAATGGCTAAAAATTGCCCGCAATTGTTCACATTGCGGGCAATTTTTAGCCATTTTGGCTGGGAATTGGAGGGTGAGAGTAGTATTGTATGAAATAATATCTCTCACCCTCCAATTCATCCTATGGCGCCGAAAAAATTTTGGTGAAATGCGACCACATTTCACCAAAATTTCTCGGCGCCATATAGAGAACTAGAGCCTGTGAGGTACTGATACTAGCCATGTACCTCGCAGGCTCTAGTTCCAAGCCAAAATGGCTAAAAATTGCCCGCAATTGTTCACATTCCCATCTTTGTTGGTAAGACGAAGAATATGAAATAAATTATGAAGAAGATAATGATGAATAAAATATCACTTTTTATATTTTTGACACGTAAAGGTGTCACTTTTCTGTCAAACTGTTTTTATCGTTTTCGTATATAACACCAATGTAATATAAATGTTCCAAAAATACCATCCCTCCTTCCAAAAGCGTAAGAACCGATAACATTTACAAAATATTAAATTTATTTTGTAAATTTTCCAAAAGCCTTAGTACCAATGTAATATAAATGCTCCAAAAATACCATCCCTCCTTCCAAAAGCGTAAGAACCGATAACATTTACAAAATATTAAATTTATTTTGTAAATTTTCCAAAAGCCTTAGTACCAATGTAATATAAATGCTCCAAAAATGTTGTAAACGAAAACGATAAAAATAGTTTGACAGAAAAGTGACACTTTACATGACAAAAAATAGAGCCTTACTTTTGAGATACTTGAGATTGAAACTTGTTGTGCATGAAAATTCGGTTCACGTCACTTCTGACAAAAAGTGACAAGTTTACATGGCAAAAATATATAGGGTATTTTTTTTAAAAGTAGTTATCTTTATATATAAAAATAAAACTTTTGATATATTTGAGTAGTTAGTATACATATCTTCAGTACGGTGGCACTGCGCGCCATCTTACCGAAGATATGTCAACCTGACACTTTACAAAACCACTAACGTATATTTTACATCGCAGATGCAATATTTCTAATAACCTTAAACTATTTCTGCCACGTAAAGTATTTATCACATAAACCACCTCATCTCACCTCTCTGTACGTTATATATTGTGCGCAGGTCATTGCCCATGGCAACTCCCCGCGACACAATGCACGTGCATGAAAAAATAAACGTTCTCACTAACGTTCTCACTAACGTTCTCACTAACGTACACACTAACGTTCTCATTTACAAAAGTATTGCAACTCTTTCCATTGTTGTGCTTCACATAATAGTTCATATTCTTCAGTATCACTACTGTCGCTCCAATCGTCTGAGTCAAAGTCACTGTCATAATTAATGTTAGTAAGTTTTGACAAAGCTAATGAAACACGCTTACCGTTTGTATCTACTGCTTGTATATATCTTCCATTATGTTTGCTATCATAAACGCTCAAACTAACTTTACCCTTTCTCCCTCGTATCTGATAGAATGTATTTTCACGAGGAACGAAGAACAAATTCTTGAACTCATGACCGTTGTAGTTTGTTATTTCAATAGTTTTCGTCATTACATCCAAATAAAAATTTTCAGTAAAAATAAAACTAACGTTAAAAATTTTATTCCTCACTGTCGTCTGCTTTCTCCAACTCTTCTAGCTTCTTCCTAAGTTTAGTAATGTTGTCCTCATGAAGTTTAATCTTTCTCAAAATTCCTTCTTTATCTAATGGTTGCTTTATCTTTCTAAACTGAACTCTACCATCCTTCATAGTATGAACGTAAAAACCTTCTGGAACCGCTCCTGATTTAATGTATTCTACCAAAAACTTTTGTTTCATTGCTTCAGTGACTTTAGTCGTCATTTTACTCTAAATAAAAATTTTAATATTAAATAAAAATAACGTTATTTTTTCAGTAAGGAAACGCAGGAGTTTTACGATTTATTTGAGGAGTAGGTTCTGGTTTAAATGTTGGAGTCGGTTTTGGAGTTGACTTTTGAACAGGAGTTTGTACTTTCATAGGTTCAGGAGTCATTGAAGGTTTTGCTTGTGAAGGTGTTGGAGTTTGTTTAACTTCAGCTACTTCAGTATTATTTATAACATTTGCTTTGTTTCTTTTCAACATCATTACTGCTCCTGCTGTAGCTAGCAAACCTAGTGGGAGACCATATTTTATATAAGGACTTGACCAAATGCTATTTTTGACAGGAGCTGGTGGAACACCTAACCTTGGTGAGACTGCTCTTTGCCATTGTGCAGCTCGTAAGAAATATTCAATAGGTGCTCCATAATCGTTTGGTAAAGTTTGTTTCATAGATGGTGAAGGTTCACGAGAGCTTGATGAAGAACTCATTTATAAGCTTTAAAAATAAACGTTCATCCTTTATTCCTCACTGTCGTCAGTTGCTAAGTTATAGTCATCTAATCTTATTATTGGGATTCCATTAGCACGCACCTGAATGGCAAAGCAACAATCCCTCATAAATCCAATAAGTGGCTTTGGTACATTTTCAGTTGCTAGTTCAATAGGTCCTTTAACAGACAATTTGTATGTTATTGGAGCAGTAGATGTTTGACCTTGCTGGAAGCAAAAGTCCACTTCTGTTGGAAAACCACATAAGAAATGTGTGTTGTCATAGCTATCCCATTTATGTTCCACACTACCATCATCCACCAATGACCTCATAACATCTTCATTAAATCCTATCATATCATTGTTTGTATTGCAAGCGTTCGCAACCATTTCATAAAATACAGGTCCATATGATTTTTCAGGTTCTGCAGGCATATTTCCATAAGCTCCCATGGAAAGCTGAAGATATTTAAACTTAGGGTTCTCAAAATTAACATAATAGTTGTCTTTCTTTCTAAATAGTGCCCAAATACTTTTAACATTAATAGGCGTATAAGCTGCTGTAAATGTTGCACTTGAACTATCTGTATTCTTTGAGAATGAACCGTCCATAGGAATCCAATCCATAACTTTAACAGGAAAACATAAAGCCTCGTTTGTATAATGTTCTACAAGTTCTGTATAAATGTTAGGGTCTAAAGAGAATGACTTTGGATGAATGAAACATTCATTAAAATCCATCTTTGTTCGAAATAGTTGCTGGTTTACAGTTGTAATAGTAACTGTTCCACTAGCTTCTACTGCCTTCGTTATCATAGTGAATGGTTCATTCCATGGAACAAATTTATTTGTCGGTGGATTTGAATCTGAAGCAAATGCAACTTTAAGAGTTGGATTGAAAGCAATGATATCATTTACAGATATAGATGTGCATTGTAAGGCGTCGCTACTGAACTTTACTTTAAGCTGAATGTTTCCTGCAAAAGCTGGAATAAATCGAATAGCTTCTAATGGAAGGAATCTTCTAACAGGAATTCTTAAACGAAGCTTAAAATCAAATGATTTT